CATCAGTTACCATGGAGATCTAGCTCCACAGCATTAGTTACCATGGAGATCTAGCCAGGCAAAAAGAGAGCCACCTTCGTGACTCTGTAAAGTCTGACTTTAAGCTCAACATACCTGATAACACACTAATCTCTCTTTGTAGTGCAGCCCTCAGGCCATAGTTTTCCAGGTTTTACAATGAAGGGAGATTTTTGCTGGTTGTTTTTCAACATTTGTACAATAATGGAACTAAACACATATAGAAGGGAGCAGCAGTTAGGTACTGTAACTGGGCAAATTCTTGACTAAATGTTTGAACGTGTTTAAGTGTTGGCTGATGTGATGTGTAAACAGAGGTTGATGTTTGTCAGACTGCTGTAAAAGAGAGTCCCATTTCCTTCTATGCCAGGATGATCACAAGTGGCAAATGTCAGTCTACATCTGGCGTTGACAGAAAAGTTTAAGGCAAAACTTGTTTCTACTTCCTGAAATGCACGAGGAAGAGAATTAGGCAACTGGGGCAAAAGTTCCACAATAGCTTTTCAGCATCATGTAGTTCCAGTGGTCTCACAGGAAACCTGACCTCTGCAACTACTCTCAGCTGTTTTAGAAAGTCTGGCATGTGATGGGAGACTTTAACCAATCACAGGCCTTTTCACTCAGAGCAGGTGAGGTAATATTGACAGCAACAAAGTCCACAATCATAGCTGGATGTCGTCGTGCAATGGGTTGGATGGAAACCTTCCACGTGGAAGAGTCAGGTTCGAATCTTTAGGGGAGCCACAAGTAATGACTGTCTGCCTACTGTGTTACTTTTGTATTCCGACAGTTCGTGGTTGTATGTCTACATGTTAATGATAAAAAATGTCCAAAAGCTGTACATTCTTGTCTCATTATGCTGCGATGTGAATTGAATTAAAAATAAATAAATGGTCATGAACACTTGTGCTCATCTGACGGAGATCATAAAGTACAGCAGTAGGCAGCAACCAAACAATGAGATGATGCAGCTGCGTGTCGTCATTAACTGGCGTTGCTTTAAAACAACTGTTCTAAACCAAGACGCCTGATTTTGTTCAGAAGCTGTTGCCTCGACTCTTCTCTCCTTGTGTTTCTTCTTTGCCTTATTTGCTCACATCTCAGATGGGAAGGACTAAGGCGTAAGGAAAGGGTGTGAGGAAAGGAATTGAGGATGTGCAAACCCAGAAATGAGAACAGGGGGATGTTACCACTGAGTGAAATAGGAGATATTGCATCTTTCTTGTGCTTCACTTTAAACACACTTGTCCAACATTCAGCCCAACAGCTTTGGTTTCTTTGGGATCTCCATTACAATAATACATGAGTTTATACTGGCTGTTAGAGGCTACTTCGCATTTCTTCTCACAGGCACTACATTAAGTCCACGGGGGGAGCAACTGTATTATCTAACAAAGACTCTGAGGCTGTGCAACAGGTTTACCTCCATAATGGACTGTAGTCGTCTGTAGCTCGCAGGCGGCCCAGAACCAGCAGAAGGAACTCGTGCATCTCAAGCAGCCATTGGTCCATGTTTCCTTTGGAAATGAAGCCTTTAAGCTTGAGCTTGTCTTCTTCTGTCAGTGGCACCTGGTACTCAGCTGGATACTCCGAAAACGGCTCCTTTTCACAGAAACATGGAGTGAGAAAACTTGAGTGTGTATGTACAGTATGAAGTCTAAGTGTTTGTAGGAACGAAACACTAAAAGATTAGCATGAAGGAATCAGTGAAAATATGACTCAACCCTATGTAGTACACCGGGGATGAGGGGATTTTAAATTCAGTGCACTTATTTGGCATTTCAGCACCCCAAAATTTCTGCAAAAGTAGTGCATACCCGTTTAAGACGCAGCATGTGTTCAGATTTGAGGGAGGAGAGGAGCTGCCACAGAGAAACACAGTGTGTGAGGCGGCATCTGCCCAGAGCCTGAAACACAAACCACAGCTGAGTCAAACATCTGCTCCTTACAGTCTGAAAGCATGAAACAGGAAATGAGCCGACACCTGCAGTCTTTTCAATCCGTCTCCTGGTTTTGAGGATATTTTTAAGATGAGCTGTATTTAGTATAATTATTTATGAATTTATTTATTTGGATAACTGCCAATAGATAAGTAATGAACAATAAGGAGTACTCAGCCTTTTAGCTCATCTCTGTATGATAGAGGAACAATTGCTCTACAAACTACACATCCGACTTATAGATAAACTTCATCTATTATACAGTCATGTTTGCAAAATTGTTCTATTTTTTCATCTGCACATATTTTTTAAAATCTTATTTATTATTAATAGTTTTTTATTTTGTATACTGTGCTTCTTTTCGTTCAGTATTCTGTATCTTGCTCTGCCGATTTTGTTTCTACTTTGACTATCACTCTCAGTCGGTTGTTCATTATGCTGCTGTAACTTGTCAATTTCTTATCCATCCATCCATCCATCCATCCATTATCTATACACCGCTTAATCCTCACTAGGGTCGCGGGGGGGCTGGAGCCTATCCCAGTCGACTTAGGGCGAAGGCAGGGAACACCCTGGACAGCTCAATTTCTTATCTCTCTGTAAAAACTTCCGTCTTTACCCATCCATAAGCTTCATTTCTGAAATATCCAACCGTGCTTAGAAAAGCTTAACAGTCACTTCAGACAAAGGACCTGCACATGTACTCGCCTGCAATACGTTACGATCAATGTTTTGGGCCATCTTCAGTATGTCCTGGAGGTAAGTGACCAGTTTCATGATGGGATCTCCACCAGTCATGGAGAGGAAACCCAGGAGCAGCTCCACGACCTTTAGCGCCTCACACACCTCGCTGTAGGACTTCAGCTCTCTGGACACGGCGTTCCGGATCAGAGAGGACACAATGGCCTGAAGGAGAAACAAACCATCAGTGAACCCTGGAGCCATAATCTACTGCAAGTGTAAATGAACCCACATTACCTCATACTACAGAACTATCAAATGTTCTGAGCAAAAGTAGAACTTAGGTCTTATCCAGTGGGTGGATATTATAGGACCGACTATTGTCTCAATCACTGGAAATATTAGAGGTAAAACTGTGATTTGACTTCTGAAATTAATAGATATAACCTACCAAGCAAAACGATGAATCATTCATAGGTGCTTTTCTGTTTTACATTGCCGTAAATTGAACATCTTTTAGGGCAGCACAGCGGTGCAGTCGTGAGAAGGTCATGTGTTTGAATCTGCTGGTTGGTTGGGGTCTTTCTACATGGAGTTTGCATGTTGTCCCTGTGCTGTGTGTCCAGGTGCTCTGACTTCTTCCCACAGTCAAACAACATGAACTGTAGGCAAACTGGTGATTCCAAATTGGCTGTAGGTGTGGGAGTAAATGTGTACGGTGACGTGTAGCAAGTACCTTACCACTGGAAATGTCTCACCTTAAATATATGTGTTTGGTTGGATACATGGACAGGAGCCTAATAATGTTATATTGTATGGGATAAAAAATAAATCATAATTCTGTTGTCTACTGTGCCAAAAAAGAAAAAAAAAAAAGCAAAGGGCGCTAATAAGAATACAGGCTCATTATTTCACCTGAGGCACTTTTCCTTTAACAGTGTTGAAAATGGTTTCATAGTCTCTCTCCTGTGTGTTGACCAGAGTGGGAATTTCCTAAAACAAAGCACAGCGAGTTTTGTGAAGCAGAGAAATACAGAAAAAGACTAAAATAAGTAAAATGACACAAAGCCAATTGAATACCGACAAAATAAGTCACATAAAATGTGAGGATTTTTTTGTAGAATTCTCTTACTTTGTTGTTAACCAACACAATGAATACCATGTAGGTTTGCTAAACATTACTAAAACACAAGTCAGACTAAATAATGTGTTCACTGTTGTCTTGGTTGGATGAAGCCTGACATGATGCGGCTGGTGTAGGAGGGTCTGTAGCACTCTGAGTAGAGCAAGACACTCAGGAACTGAATTTTGACCAAACCAGGCTATGTGGACTCACTGTGCGGGTTATTAGAGGTTTTCCCTGCAGGAAGCGGGTGAGGATCTGCTGCTGGATTCTGGGCAGGTCGTACTGTGATATCATTTCATGGCCACGTTCCAAGCTGTACTGGCAGTTGGACAAAACCAGAGGGAGCAGATCCTTCTCCACGTCATAACAGATCACATGTGGCTCCATGAGCTCAGCCACGCTCACCTTGTAATTGCTGCAGACATTGCAAAGCAAATGTTAAGTTTGTATTTGTAGAACAATTTGTTGTCCCAACCCAAACAAACCAAAAGCTCTCCATTCCAGTCTTTGTTTAAAAGAGTGCGGTGAACTAAAGGACTTTGTGACAAACANTCAACCAGTTAAAGAAGGCTTAAATCATCTAAATTACTGAGACAAAAGATACACTGAACTCTAAACTAGTAGGCTGGTTTATGTGACTTCATTTGTGTTAAGTGATTATCTAAAAACTCTAACTCATCTGTTGCAGACAACACAATACTAACAGAGAGAATGAGAAAATATTAACAGTTTGCTGAAAAAGTATGCTGCAATTAACCAATGCATCTGCAAAAAAACAATTAAATTGGGTTTTACTAGTACAGTCGTGACTTGATAATCCAACACTAAATGTAAAACCTTTTATGTCAGCTAGCAAGTCTGTCGGATTGTCAAGACGGAGGTCGAGATACAAGGAGGGCTTGATGCTGGAAGGCTCATTTGTTGTAAATATTTATTGTTTTTAGTTGTTATAATAACTAGTGTGTTGCTAGAACACTACGCATAGCTGGATTTCACACCTAATTGACCGGTGTGCTTGTGTACGGGCCAGTCGGTTGACATCAAAGGTAAAAGGTCCTAAATCCTACAGGTATCTGATCTTTTGCCATGTGACTTCTGTCTAAATGGCAAGGTCACACTTATCCAACCTACACGTCATTGATACATGACTAACTAGGGCTGGTCCAAATAGCACTTTCTGGTCTCTGGAGATTCAGGCCCAATTAATGATGAGTATCAGAATATTCGGCATGGTGGGCGCCCGGATAGCTCGGCGGGTAGGGCGGGCGACCCATGTATAGGGGCTTTAATCCCCAGACGCAGCGCGGTTTGATTCCAACCAGCGGCTCATTTGCTGCATGTCATTCCCCCACTCTCCTCCCCACGTTTCGCTGTCTATCTTCACTATCACTATCATTAAAGGCGGAAAAGCCCCAAAAAAATCTTTAAAAAAAAAAAAAAAAAGAATATTCGGCGTGGTCAGGGGAACACTTCCACCCTGGTGGAGCGCTCCGACGAGGTGGAAGTGGCCAGCACACAGACAGTACTTGGCTGCTGATGCCAGTTTAGTTAGCGGTCACAGTTCTGTTTCCACCATCTGTGGCGGCGGCAGCAGGGGAGTGGCTGATACGCTCCACTGTTACCATCCGTGTTTACTTCCGTAAACACTGAGCATCCTCGCTGTGTGTGACGTCATCGTGTCCTCTTCTGCACATGTGGGACACTTTTGGGTCGTATGAAGTTCACACAGCAGATCACATACAAGTCGTATTTAACTGGAAATGTGAACAAACTCGCAAAACATCGGATTTCATGAAAAAATCCGAATTGAGCATTAAATCCTGCAGTGTGAACGTAGCCAATCTGTGGGATTGTTCAGTAAGATAATACGCCGTTATCCTGATTGGTGACATTAAATGTCATGTCGGAGTCTGAATCCAAGGCTGTCGGTATGTTAAAGCTGTTTTTAATGGGTTCCATTCGTTTTTCGTAAAAATCTGTCGAATAGCAAGGTTTAGGATTGTTAAGGGTCGGATTATCGAGTTACGACCGTACATATGAATGAGTAATACTTACCATACCAAGTGAGCTGCCCATAGTCTTGTCGAATGACTGCCTGCGCAACAGCTAACATGTCATCAGGCATTGTCGGTATAAAAGCCGCCTGTNACTATATGTAAATAGTCAGATACCACTAAGATTCTCATTTTACTTTGTATCTTCTGTACATTTTGGTAATTTGGATGATAAAACATTTAAAATAATGATAAAGATAAAGTTTATTGATCCCACAGTGGGGAAAGTTCACCGTTACAACAGCTCCAAAAGAGAAAGTGTAAAGTCAGTGCAAGAATAATTTAGAAACACACAGTGCAAAAATTACAAGAGAAAAACATTATATACAGATTTTTTTTTCTTAAGAAGAATATATACCAGTGGTTCTCAAACTTTTGCTGTCATGCCCCCCTTTGTAAGAGGAAAAAATTTCAGGCCCCCCCACCCCAACAAAATTATTACAAAATGAGTCAAGTTTACCTTTTATTGCAAAAACACTCTCAGTTTGCTTTGCAAATAAGAAAATAACTTCAATTTCAACTCCGTCAGACTGCATTCTCAAATAAAAATATAACGAAATGTGCAAACACCTTTTTAGAACAATAACAACAACAACACATTTAATCTGGGTTAATCCTCAAAACATGAGGTGCAACCTATGCAAAGAAACAAAAACAAGTGAAGAAATTTGGCAAGAAAGATGAGGTCTTTAAATTTGTATGGCTAAAGTCAGTTTCACAGTACTAGCGGCTACAAAAAGCCTATTTTCTACTGCACATCATTTAAAAAAAACCCCAAATTGTAGTATATCGTATATAAATTCGTCCCTATTGGTCCCAGCATTTTTAACTTTTCAGATTATGCTCAGACCATGATCATCAATAAATGTTGTGAATTTGGTGGCTTTAAGTCCTTTGGGGTCAGAAATAGAGGGGGGTCCATATTCCGGCAGACCCCATTGCCAGAATATGTACCCCCCCAGTAAATCTGGAGGGGTACATTTTTAACTTTTCACAGTATGCTCAGACCAAATCTGTCCCTGTTGTTCTCATTATTTCCACGTGACCATGTACAGACAAATATTAAATATTACTGTTAGACTTTCTTTATTTTCATCTACCGGCGAATGACTGTCACTGCGCTCCTTGAGAGGGGGTGCTTTTTCCGGCAGGGGTGCTTTTTTCGGCACAACACCGGGCCTGGAGTACGTGCTGGCAACAATAAACCAATCAGACAACAGTATTTAGTACGCTTAACCCCACCACTTTTTAGACGTAATACATATGGTGATTCAACATTATACTACAATACATTTGTAAAGCTGGAATCATCACCGAACAGCCAAGTACCGGCAACGAGACTGACTCGAATGATGAAGACAGGGATCCGGGTAAGCTTGATGCCAACATTGCACAGCTGTTTAATTCAGAGACTGAAGATGAAGAATTTGATGGGTTTGTGGAAGAGGAATGAATATTATATTTTTCTGCCCTGGTACTTGCTACAACTTAGTTAAAGTTTGATTTACCGGACTGTGTTGTTTTTCTTAATGCATCTTACAATCCGGTGCGCCTTATGCGTGAACATAGACACGTTTAATTGACAGTGCGCTTTATAATCCAGTGCGCCTTATCGTCCGAAAAATACAGTAGTTCCGCCTGCTACATTTTCGGCCGCCCAAGAAAAAAAAAAAATCACACACAGAGCGGTCACGCGCCCCCCCTGTCATGTCACCGCGTCCCCCCGCAGCTTGAGAATCACTGCTATATACACAAGATGAGGTAGTAACAGTTATTGCACATAGTGGAATGGGTCTGCTGGTGGAAAAAGTGCAGCAGTAACAGAGGTGCCAGTGGAGTTTATAATGCAGAATTGTAAAGTTTGACTGATGTTGGAATAAAGGACCTGCAGAAATGTTCCTTCTTACACTTTGGGTATAACAGTCTGTCACTGAATGCACTGCTTAAGGAGTTCAGTCTGCTGCACTTTAAATTAATTTAAAGTACAAAAAAGTGTGCCTCCATGAGGCACTGCAAAATCCTAAAGATAAATAATACAGCAAATGCGCCACTAATTTTTATTCATTTTTTGAAAATTATTATTATTTGTATTAACATACATAAAACATATGTTTTATGTATGTTATGTATGTATGGCATATCTCTGCACTGATCAAACTAAAGTACCTACAGTAATTTATAGTAAACTGTGTTTTTAGGCAACTATCTGTTGCCTTATTTTTTACTGAGTTACACAAGTGGACAAAATAGTTGGTACCCCTCGGTTAATGAAAGAAAAACCCACAACGGTCACAGAAATAACTTGAATCTGACAAAAGTAATAATAAATAAAANGAATGACTGCCTGCGCAACAGCTAACATGTCATCAGGCATTGTCGGTATAAAAGCCGCCTGTCGGGTTAAATCAAAAGAAAACTTTAGAGGTGGCATGAAGATAATAAAAGGAAACAGTAGTTGCTACTGAAGGTATGAACAACTTAAATAACTTTTCCTCTCAGCAGCAAGATTAAGATTTTATAAAGCATTGTAGAAAGTAAGTAGTCATGAGAGTAGAGTTCGAAGTCATGGTGAGCTAATACAAAAGAGATTTGTCCTTGTACTCTGTTTAAACCTAAAAATCCACTGTAGCTTGAAACAAACCTAACACTAGACAAGAAGACATCTGAAAGAGAACAGCTTAGACCTGAAGAGTGGAAATGGTAGCAGATATGAGACACGTTTACCTGCATATTTTCAGGAGACAGGCCGAGCTGCTTGAGTGGCGTCAGCAGGAGGTGAGTCCCAGTGAGCAGCACAGCTGCTAGATGGATGACCAGCTTAGTGACAGCGTTGTCCATAATAGTATGACCAGGGAGGATTGTCAGTGCCCCCAACCTGTTATGAACCAAGGCTGAGGCAAATTTCCTTACTTCTTCTCGTTGCAGATACCTTGAGCCTTGGATGAGAACTCCAAATGCTCGACATTGCTACAGGGACGACAGAAGACGATGAACAGAAGTAATAAGGTTTTTGTAGCACCATTACAACGTATAACAACAAAAATCAAGCTGAAGGTTGCAGATGAATAGCCCCATCACCTGAGGTTTACCAGAAAACTATCAAAACGATGTATATTTACTGCCCTGTTTCACTTCAAGTTTTGACCATTATTACTGATCTCCCTATGGTCTAAAACTAAAACTTTTGAGAAAAGTTGTAGAATTTTTACTGACATGTTTGATCTGATCATATTATAATGTTTTTTCATATGACATGATAATTAATGTCATAGAGGTATGTACATTTGAGTAATAATCTAAACTTCTAAAATTTTTTTCAAATTGGTGAATCTTGAAATGTCTTCAATTTGTTTAAAACAGGTAAAATAGTTTTACATTTTAATATCAGTGTCTTTGTCATAAGGTGCAGCATTACTCAGTTCATGAAAACTGTGCTGATTGTGATCACATTTCAATTTGTGAATCAAATCCCAAATCCTTGTTTTCATTATGAGATCAGATCATCCCTGCTCAGCTCTTTGCTGCAATGTTTCAGCTCCTAACGAGACTTGGTGTACAGTATAATATACAATTCATTGTCTATAGAGGTGCATGTTAGCATCATTCATACCTCAGCAGTTGGATGAAGATCTCTGTTTGCAGATCTGTACAGAGTTGTAACCTCTCGAAAAAGAGCCAGGAGGATGAACACTGCACGATTCCTTGGGGGGGCTTTGCAGGTCTAAACCAATCAAAAACAAACACAAACTGAGCAGTGAGCAGCTATGCTAACTATTCAGACTGCATGGGCATTTGGTCAGAGAACTATGGATCTCTGGATTTGGCAAAGANTGACTAAACCCAGTGCTAAACCTCTAAGCACATAAAGAGGAAGAAAAACACTTCACTTACTGCTGGTCACAGACACTCTTAGCAGATTCCATGTTTTCAGGAAGATGTCAATGTGTTTTTCATACCATGTCTTCCTTTCTGAAACGAGTCAATTTTTAAATTAGTTTGTATGACAAAAAAAAGGAGAAGTGTGTGTAAAATGTCAGTAGTTTTCTCTATTTAGGAAGTTAGGAATGGGGACAGATTTTGGCCTCGGCTTTCCTGTCAAGACTTAGACTATTTAGAAGCAATTCAATGCTAACAAAAAAAAAAGTCTGGTCATTGATCAGAAATATCCCGGCTGTACCTGTTTGCTTCTCAATGAACTCTCCGATGGAGCCCATTATCTGTTCAGATGCATTCTGGTACTTTCTCACCAAGCGTTTCTGCAGGATTACAATTACTGGAAGGAACTTAATCTGGCGAAACTCTCTCTCCTAAAGAAAACAAAAGCACACAAATGAAATAGCAAATAGCGATGCCTTATAAACACAAACTGAATACAGTATATAGCCATGACGACAAACAATACATCTTTAGTCTTTTCTAGTTTAGTAATCAATACTAATGACTGGCTGTCAAGGAGGGGAAAAAAAAGATATTTTCATTTTACTAAATACAATTAAAGCTGATTTTTTGATTTATTTTTGAAAATGATTCATATAAACCAGCAACATTGCGTTGCTGTAGTCAGTCCTGCTGCAACAGCATGAAGGTTCTGGATTTGAACCCAGCAGCTGGGTGCTTTAGATCCCCCCCACAGTCCAGAGACATGCATTCATCCACCCATCCATCCATTATCTATACACCGCTTAATCCTCACTAGGGTCGCGGGGGGCCTATCCCAGCTGACTTAGGGCGAAGGACAGGTAACCAGTCTATCACAGGGCTACACTTAGAGACAGACAACCAAGCACACTCACATTCATACCTACGGACAATTTAGAATCACCAATTAACCTCAGCATGTTTTTGGACCTTGTGGGAGGAAGCCAGAGAACCTGGAGAGAACCCACGCTGCATGGGGCGAACATGCAAACTCCATGCAGAAAGACGCGAACTGGTGACCTTCTTGCTGCGAGGCAACAGTGCTACCAACTGCGCCACCTTGCATCCCCAGAGACATGCAGGTTAGGTTAACTGGTTAATTGGTGATGCAAACTTTCCTGCAGGTGTGAATGACTGCCGGTTTACGCCCCTCCAAAATAAAATGTTTAGCTCACACGAGTAAAAAGCTGTTTATGAGTAATAGGGCCAAAAGTGAGGGCTGTAGAATAGGACAGTGTGACGGCCCTGCCTAGTATGTTGGTTGGGCACATAGGCTGTCTGTGTGTTGCTCTACTTCCTCAGGTCCCTAAACTGCTGGAGACTGAGTGAGTGGGTGGTCCTACCTGCTTGGCGTGCTTTGGCGCTCCCAGGCTACAAAAGACCCAGCCCCTCAGCTCGCTCTCTCTGTCTCTCTCTCTCTCTCTCTCTCTGTGTGACTTTTAAAATTCTGAATATGTCGCCTCAGGAACAACAATGTACTCATGAAAGGTCATGATATCTTGCAGTGTTTACATTTGGTCTAAAGTTTGCACAAGAGAGTCCAAAATGCAAAGGCCAAGGCAAGGATGACCTCAAATANCACAGATGTTCAATAGGATTTAGATCAGACCTCATAGAAGGCCACTTCAGAATAGTCCAGTGTTTTCCTCTGAGCCATTCTTGGGTGTTTTTTAGCTGTGTGTGTTTTGGGTCATTATCCTGTTGCCAGACCCATGACCTGCGACTGAGACCAAGCTTTCTGACACTGGGCAGCACATTTCTCTGTAGAATACCTTGGTAGTCTTGAGATTTCATTGGACCCTGCACAGATTCAAGACACCCTGTGCCAGATGCAGCAAAGCAGCCCCAGGACATAACAGAGCCTCCTCCATGTTTCAGGGACAGGGTTCTGTTCTTCATATGCTTCATTGTTGCGTCTGTGATCATAGAGCTGATGCCAAAAAGTTCCAGTTTTGTCTCGTCTGTCCATAGGACATTCTCCCAGAAGCTTTGTGGCTTGTCAACATGCAGTTTGGTAAATTCCAGTCTGGCTTTTTCTGATTTGTTTTCAACAATGGTGTCCTCCTTGGTCGTCTCCCATGAAGCCCACTTTGGCTCAAACAACGACGGATGGTGCGATCTGACACTGATGTACCTTGACCTTGGAGTTCACCTTTAATGTCTTTAGAGATTGTTCTGGGCTCTTTTGTTCCCCATCGTATTATCCGTCTCTTCCATTTGTCATCAATGTTCCTCCTGCGGCCACGTCCAGTGAGGTTGGCTACAGTCCCATGGATCTTACATTTCTGAAAAATCTGTGCAGCTGTAGTCACAGGAACATCCAGCTGCTTGGAGATGGTCTCATAGCCTTTACCTTTAACATGCTTGTCTATCATGTTCTGTCTAACCTCCTGAGACAACTCTCTCCTTGGCTTCCTCTGGTCCACGTGTAGTGTGGTACACACCATGTCACCAAACAGCACAGTGACGACTTGTAACCGTATAAATAGGCCGGCTGACTGATTTCAAGTTTGTAGACACCTGTGATGCTAATTAGAAGACACACCTTGATTGAACATGTTCCTATGGTCACATTATTTTCAGTCTTTTCTAGGGGTACCGTCATTTTTGTCCAGGCCTGTTTCATGAGTTTATTTTTAAAAATAATTATGTTGAACCACGGTTCAAAAGCAATGTCTGATTTTCATTGGTTAATTTTCACTGAATTTTTATTTATTACTTTTGTCAGATTCAAGTTGTTTCTGTGACCGTTGTGGGTTTTTCTTTCAGTAACCTATTTTGTCCACGTGTGTAAGTGATTTGATAGTTTCATGCGTAGAGTAATGCCACTCCAGCCATTATGGCATTTAAGCAGCAAAACTGAAAACTAGAAATCATGTTTCAGAAAAAGTGGTGATGNTACCTTGAGCTTTGGTGTCATAACATCTGTTGCAACAGTGGTTTCCCAGGTGTTTCTGGATTGTTTGGTTGCAAGGTAAGGATCAGTCTCAGCTAGACAAAGAGAAACAAACAGATGATATAAAGATACAACATATGCTGCTATGTTCCAACAAACCTCACCTGCATGTATGTATGTATGTATGTATAATATACAGATTTAGAATATTCCTATGTGACACTAGATTTGTATTTGGTGACTGCTGGTTTGCTTACAGTGACTGGCCTGCAGTAACTCTTGCAGGGATCTGAGCACCAAATGGACAGTTGTGAAAGTATCATCAGCTCCTTTTCCCAGCGCCTCTGTCAGCTGATCCAGGTCCTTCGTTATGTGCAGGCTGAGAAACAAACCAACATCCTCCACGGGTGGCTGGATGATCTGCTGGACAAACTAAGAAAACAGAGATTGTGCAACAATTTCATACTAAGATTTAAGAGAACTAGTAAAAATATAAGCTCTTTACAACTACTTTGCAGAGTGTCTGTTGTCTGTATAGATCCGTCGATATCTTAGCTACACACACTGCTCCCTCACAGATTGCTACTACACAGTAACAGCTGATGTAGATTCTTTGGTTCAGATGGCCGATGATCAAAAAGTCAGATTAACCTTTTATATGGCTTACCTGGGACTTCTCTGAGGCTCCTAGTAACATAGCCAAATGTGTCACCAGCCTGACCAGAGTGAAGGGAGCCAAAGACATGTTTTTGGTATTAAGCGCATCTGGGTTGTTTCTCCGCTTAGGGTCTCCCAGGATGTGGCCGGGTCTCGTGCGATCCCTAAAACCAACAGGTCAGCATCAGTCAGTTAGTAGTACATGAAGGTATGCATGACACTGAGTAGAACAATTACATTAAAAAGTCACAAATCATCATTCTAATGTTGCTTGTAGACAACCAAATTAGTGATGATGCATACACACATATACATAACAATACTATTGGAAGCACTATGAACATGAAAATAGCATCTAGTATTTGAATTTTTAAAAACAAAATCCTAGAATTGCATGTAGCCGATACTTCAATACTATGAAACAGAAGTGAGACTGCGTGCTTGTAGTATACCTCCCACAAAAAAAAACTACAGGTTTAAATCCTTCCTATATTTTGCTGCACCCAAAAAACAGAGAGTACATTAAATTCAAGAGGACATCAAATTCAGTTTTACATTGTCTATAGAGCCTGTTCTGTAAGCGACTTGGCAATGAATGACACTCACTGCTGCAGTTGAACTGGTCTGAATCCTGGCAAGGCCCGGTGATGTTCGCCTCCAACTTCCTCACCACACTCCAGACATCGGCCTCTCTGCATGGGCAGGCCGCACTGCAGCGGAAGATAGCAAATGCAATATACATGATGTATTTTTACAATTTCATGCCAAAATCACTGTGAAAAATCTATTAACTGACACAGCATTTAAAAAACTTACCTCATCAACAAAGCATGGATGGTTATTTGGGCACACTGTGGGGAACAATCAACCAGTTAAAGAAGGCTTAAATCATCTAAATTACTGAGACAAAAGATACACTGAACTCTAAACTAGTAGGCTGGTTTATGTGACTTCATTTG